AGAGAGAGAGAGAGAGAGAGAGAGAGAGAGAGAGAGAGAGAGAGAGATCTTCAACCTTTTCTTACCTAGTCATAAGGTACCTCGAGTAAAGTTTCCTAAATTGATGGTGAAATTATAATTATTTTTGGAAGACTGGATCCTTAATTTGGGCTACTGCTCCAAATATAGGAAATACCAACACCATTCATACTTTTTATTTAAATAGATGATTGATAATACAGAAAATGCACTTTTTATACGTTTTTATAATTTTGTTGCACAGATAAAGATAAATGTTATTTTTATAGCTTTGCATTATATTTCCATCGAATAGTCAGTTTTGAATGTATTTTAGAATCAGAAACTATGTGATTATATTATGATTTCAAACATATTTAAATTTCTGAATTTTGTCTTTTTAAAAAATAGTTATGTCATCTAAATGATCTAAATTACCTTTTAGGATTTTATGAATTGATACTTTGGTGCTTTTCAAAACAAGATATCTTTCTCTTTTTCTTCAGCAAATATAATTGATACTTAATAACTTCTTTTCTGTTTCATGGATTGTGGACGTTTATATGTAATGTCTTATATTATATTATTAGACATAATATAATCTTTGTCCTGTGGGAGTGAAATATGTTTTTAACTGTAATTGTGTTTCATGAATAGCTTTGCCTCATTTTTTAGCATATTTTAGTACTGCGCATATGTAACAACACATAAAATAGGAAAAGAAACCATAAATATTAGTGAATAGCAAGGGGGTGCATGAGAAAGGACAGAAGAAGAAATGGGGAGGAGGAAATAATGTAATTATATTATGATTTCAAAAATGTAACGCTTTACTATTGGAAAGCATAAAATAATAAGAGAGTAAAAACTAAAGCATCGTAGAAGTTCACAGATGCTGTGGGTCAAAGCTTCTTCTAGCTTCAAAGACGTTGTGTTAAGCAGACTGTATCCAACCGCCAAGAGGTTCATTCCAATCTCCTGGACAATACAAATACAATTTCTTCCAAAACCACATCTTCTTAGCAATTTGCTCTGCAGAATTGGGCTCTTGCTGGATGCAGTGTTATGCTGCCCACACTGGTACTGATTGGCAGTCCCATCGCATTTTGCCAGTCCTCATCTGCCAACTCCATAATGAGAAAGTTTTCTACTCTCAGAAGTTCTCACTGGGTGAAACACTTCATTGTATAACATCAGAATGGTGATATTTCACAAAACTTGTTCGTCTCTTGCATTATGCTAGAAATCTTTATAAAGTTTGAAACCGTGTTATCCTATATTTATGACTAGCAAAACTATTTCACATTGAGAGTACATTAAAGCTAGAGTTATATTTTACTCTTGATAATAAAACATGTTTAATTTATATAAGATTTATTGTTCATTACCATTTAATGAATATCAACTTGAGGCCAGGCTTTGTGCTAAGTAGTTTTCTATATTCATTCTTCTATTTCTTTTGCTAAATTATCACCAAGAAGATAGGGCTTTCATTTAAAGTCAGTACAGAAAAAATACAGATTTTTGCAGTAACATATTTAAAGATCTTCAAGCACTACCTGGAATCTAGTAGATAAACTAGGTACATTCTTCCACCCAATAA